GTGAGAAAACCTGTGGGTTGAGATAAAGTAGGTTTAATAGGTAAAGCAAAAGCTGTGCGTGCAAGCAAAGCAAAATAAGGAATTCATTCACTACTTTCCACCGGCAGGCAGATGTTTAGCCATTTCCAGGAAAGCAGCATTCCATCATTCATAACAGTTACTTGGGAAGACAAACACCATAACTCCAAATGTCCCCCCTTCCTCCTTCTTTGCCCAGCTTTTATTGCTGAGCACAAGGTCATATGGTGTGGGATATCCTTCTGGTCAGCTGGGGTCAGCTGTCCTGGCTGTGTCGCCTCCCAGCTTCTTGTGCACCCGCAGCCTACTTGCTGGCAGGGCAGTGTGAGAAACAGAGATGGCCTTGGCTCTGTTTAAGCACTGTTCAGCAATAACTAAAACATCAGGGTGTTATCAACACTGTTTTGGTCAGAAATCCAAAACATAGCACCATTGAGCTACTATGAGGAAAATTCAACTCTATCCCAGCCAAAACCGGTACTGTATTTCGGCCTGGGAGTGTAACCAGTGCTCATCCTGAGTGAACAGTACGGTCACTTTACTCTGTGGAAGGGAGCTGTTTCGATGACAGCCTGCAGTGGCAGTCAAGAGCCTGGCTAAGCTGATGAATTGGAAGCCAGTCTCTCCGTAAAGAAAAAATTCCTCTTTCTTGGAAGGCAAGTGACAAAGACAGAGTGTTCAGCTTCCCCTCCTTCTCCAGCCCAGCCTGACCTTCTGCAGCCCCTCGGTGCCTCTTGTTTTCTTATTTTTATAGAAAATCAATATCCCTCCTGACACAAACAGTAGCTCAGGCGAAAGAATAAATGGAGGAAACCTGAGATCTCTGTCCATCACCTCTCACTTTAACTCCCCCAAACTATTTAATTATAAGCGTGCTTTGCTCCAGGTGTTTGTGACAGTGAAATTGCTAAATGAGGACCATTTTAACCAAAGATTGGGTGATCAATAACACTCTATAGCAGTAGCTTGTTGGATCAATAGCATTCATTATTTCATGGTTAAGGTAAGTAGCCTCCTTTGCAAGTGGAGGTCATTAATCAGTGGTTACTGGACCTGCAGAAAGGCTTGTGTAGGAATCTAGTTTGTGTTCAGCCCTGAAGTGTAGAAAGGGGTGGTGAAGAGGATGAGATCTGTGAAAGTTAGTTCCAGTAAAGCAGTGGCAGTAATGCATATCTATAAGGAACTAAAGAGCTCTCAGTACAACAGGATGCTTAAAGTACTGTTAATATGATCTGGAATCTTGACTTAATGCTTTTTCCTTTCTCAGGCACCTTTCCTCTGAGGATGCTAAAACCCTTATGAAGCAGTCACTCAATCCTCGCATCTGCTGCTTGTGAGGACTATTAATCCAGGCTTTCAAAAGGGAAAGCAGACACGCTAAGAGATTTGCCCAGGGTCATACAGTGAGTTGGTAGGAGAGCTAGGAATGAAACGAATGACTCGTGGTTCTCAGTCCTTGGCCTTAATTGCTATGGTGTATATGTGGGAGGGTGAATGGATGGCCGAACTTTGTGATGGATTGATTTGGAATTTGATATTAACTTACATACTGAAATGTGGGAATGATGTACAGACGGTTCATCCTTTAAGTTTAAATGGCCTTGATACAATGATGAAGATGCTGAGTTTGTAGATATCCAGCATGATGACTTGATTTGGCTACACTTTAGAGTGCATTTTCTAAGAGCAATAATATGCTCACAAAATGGGGTTTTATTACGTGCCTGCAATTCTTTGGGGTGACGCATCTTGTGATCCCTCATCCTTCAGCCTTTTGAATCGAGGGGTCTCCAGTTGATACTGGTGTCTAGTATGATCCAATTTCCCTGGAAAAGAGGGACCCAGAGAGGCTTTCTAAGAGCACACCCTGATCAGAGATTGATTCCAGTGCTGAGTTATACTTTGCATCTAAGGCCTTAGTGCTTAAGGGGGTGGGCAGTCAGTAGTTTCTGCTTGTTCCAGTATCTCTCAGTTAAATCAAAGGAGGTACTGCCCGAAGTGTCCAAGGATTGATTTAATATCAGCATTAAAGCCATCAGATGCTTGGGACTGACCTGAGCATGTACTTCTGCTGCAAATATTCATCCAGCTTTACAGTCAATTAATGGCTTTCTACACATTAACTTCTAGTTTAATTCTTTGGTTCAAGAATTAAGTCTCCTGTAACTGCTTCAGCAAATGCAAAGCGTGCTGTAACGAGGTTGCATTCATCAGCAGCAAGTCATGCTGTGCTAAGGCATTTAGCTGAAGAGTTGTGAACGTACCAGCTGCTCTTCCCTCCAAATAAAATAAAAGTTGCCATAGATTGAAGGGGGGTTTATGTACCTATATAACATTTTTGAGGAAAAGGACTCTGAAGTAGAAAACTTCAGAGGGTTTTCGGTAGCTGTTAAGTGACCCAGGGACAGAGTTTTTAACTGCACTTAATTTCCTAGTGAATATTCCAGACAATGTCATAGTTAGATTATTAACTCTAGTACCTGAGGCAAATGCCATTGTATTAATTACTTTTTGATAACTTAGAACTAGACTAGATACAGGATTCTACTCTTTTTCAAGTGGTGCAGCATTGCTAGGTTTTAACAGAAAGCAATTATGTCCTGTGCTGGAGCCAGCCATGTGTCTGAAATGCAATTTCTGCGAGATGTATAAAGCATTTTAGGCTCAGAGAAGCTAGTAAAGTGTAATAAAGTGTTTTTTGTTTTGTATCTGCTGTAGTCATAACAATGGGGTTTTTTTGTTTGTTTTTGTTCCAGTGAAACCAGCAGTGTATGCAGCAGCAGTGATACTGGCCTGTTTACCAATGATGAGGGCCGCCAAGGTAACAGCTGTCCTGTGATTTTCCTCATGTGTTGCTGGGGAATTTCTGTTACTTTCCTTAAAAATACAAAGAAAGGTCAATGTTTGAAGAGGGACAGAGAGGGAAGTATGGGAGAAAGGCCAGTGGCTGGGAGGGGCTAGAAGTTAAGAAATGAGCTGAGGGCTACAGAGGTGTGATTTTGATAACAATACACTCTTCCTGCTAAAATAGTTTGTATATTAGATCGATAACATTTGAAACATAAGAAGCTATTATTACGGAAAGGCATGGAAATACAAGAGGAGTTTTAGAGCTCTCCATAATGAAAGAGCAGAGCTTATGATTTGTTTGTATAGCTGTTTTAATTGTTGTCTACATACCATTAGTACCTGAATCTGTTAGTTGTTTTCTCTATGGGCAGGAAAAGATGATGTGAAAAAAAAAAAAAATCAGTTAGTACTGACAAGTCACCTGATGGACTGTGCTAAGAAGACAACAGTCATATGTGATAGGTTTTATTTGTTTAAATACATGTTCCTCCCTTGCTCTTGTGTGCATTGGTTGAACCTAGTATTTTCAATGTCTGTTGTAGAAATGGTTTCTTGGGATGTTTGAGCGTGGAGTGTAATCTGGTTTTATTTATCAGTGGCAGCACAGTGTCCAGTTTATGGGGGATATGGCAGAAGTAAGTGTGAAAGAGGTTGTAAGTAGGCGCATAGGCACTCAGGACTATTATATTTGGAGCAGGTGGAATGTGACCCTAGAGACTTGTAATTCCACACAGCTTCTGCTGGTGTGCCCACTGATTCTGTCACATTTCATAAGCTAAGATTTGGACGAGATCTCTTCTGGGACCATATGAGTGCTAAAGGAAGTAGTATCAGTAACTCAGTAGGAAATGCTGCTTTCACCAGCTTGTTACTGACCCAGGTATCTGTGTGTGAGACAACACAATGATAGCAAATATGCTTACCTGTTTTCTGAAGATATGTTAGGCTGTAGGGCCGATCTGTTGTGATCTTAGGTGGCTATAATACTTCCCCTGAGAGTAGAGATTTCAAATATCAGCTTTGACCTTTGCTGAAAAATAACTGTTTCCAGCCTCCCATCCTTCAAAAGCAACAGAAAAGTCAAATCTTTTGTCCTCTCTTTTTACCAATGACTTGCATATCAGATAACAAAGCAGGGTGGTGACTGAAATGTTGAATTTTTACTTCATCGCCCGAGGCAAGATTGATGTAGACTGGATAAGTATATATATACACACTTGTCTATATGCTTGCCCTATATACTTGCCCTGGTTTTATACCCTGTTTTAGGCATTAACTTTTGTCTGCTACTAGAAGTAGGATGTGCAGTGTACAAGAGTATGTAGAATATACCACTTAAATTAATAAAATGCAATTATAGCCTTCCCTGTCTCAGTACTGGAAGATATTTGACATCCTAGTCATCAGGCCTCTGTCTGTTCAAACAGTTTATACTATAATAGCTTTCTGACCAAGATGCTTTAGCTTACAGTTATGTTAAAAAGAGTTAAAAAATGTTTTTGCACTTTCAGGTTAAATAAGAAATGTCTCCCTTTGCTTTTTTTAGACAATTTCTAGTCATGAAATAAATAATAAACAACAGCTGTCCACTTCAGTGAGATGGAGAGAGCACAAAACTTTTCTTTTTTTTTTTTCTGGTCACAGATCATCATCTTGGAAATAGTTTTCTAGTACAATTCCAAACTGAATAATGGGAAATTTAAGGTAGCAGTGTACTTAAATTGAATGTAGTTCCAACCCACCCCCTGTTCCTTTGAGGTTATGTCAGGTAATATTTGTGCTGTTGCTAATTAAATGGGTTGTCTTTGCAATTCCAGCTACCAGTGCACTTCTGTGAGCAGAGAATGGTCCTAGTTTATAATTTGATTTTAAGGTTTTTTTTGTTAAATGCATTGGGATCTCTCACAGTGAAAGTTACTGCAGTATTAGCATATGATCCTGATTGTTAAAGTTTGTCCTGTGAAAGTAGTGATTTGAGATATGACAGTGCACTATGCTCATAGATCCAAAACTGTAGGAATATTTTTGCACAAATTATGATCACTTAGAAGCACTGTCCAACATTACTTAGTTTTAATTTACTATAAGGTGAGTAGGGATATTTATATTTTAAAATATATTTGTCACAAGCATGCTAGGTCAACTGACATATCAAAGAAATAAAAAGCAATGTCAGAGCTTTGGGTTGAAGTGGCTGTCCTACCTGTTGGTTTTGGGTGTTGCTGCTTCTGTTATTTGCAAGATTGCAGCTTTCTTACTAGGATGAGGTTTTTTTCTTTTTCTTGTTTTTTTTCTTTTTTTTTTTTTGTGTGCCAAGATGTGTGGGTAGGCATAATGGACAACAGTCAGGAATAATGTAACTTGGTGAGGAAAGGAGATGAGAGGTGGAGAAGGGGGAAGGAGAGGTGGGGATGCTTGAGTTAAGACTTAACAGTAGGCAAATGAGAGTTTTCCCTAGGTCAGGTGTGTTAGTTTTTTAAGGCAAGGTCAAGTACCTTGCAATTACATGGGACTATGTGTTAGTTGGGCTACTGAAAAGTGAAGTGTGTCAGGTTCTTTGCTCTCTTCCTGCTTTTTTCTTATGCTGCTTACATGCTACTGCTCTCAGGGGATTTCTGGCCAGGCACATTTACTATGAATGGCGTCTGATGCATTTCAGTTTTAGACTGCAACTGCAGTGACCCTGCTTTATGGAGACTTTGGTTGTGACATCTGTTGCTGCTGCTCTAGTTTTGCAGAGGGTTTATAGTTCTGACAGATTCTAAGAAATTTTGATTGAGACAGATTCACAGCGTGGTTAGTACTTACACTCAGAGTGACCATTTCTAATAGTTGTGTGTTTTCCTTTTAGCTGCTGTCTTAGGAGACAGTGAGTACGCTCCTTTTGCTTACTCTGTGAGCCTGGTCTTCTGTTGTGAAGTCTCTCCTGTGACAGCCTATAACATGTGCCAAATGACTGGCCTCTACCTCTGTCACAGTAATTACTTCAGAGAAAGACTTGTGCATAAGACATCACACAACATTGAACTAAGGTTGATGAGATGCAGTCGCAACAGAGTGCTAAAGCTGCCCTAGGCAGGTCTATAAAGAGGGCTTTGTTCTGTATGATGAGTTGGATATTTTAAAGCATTTAGTGAGGCCCCATAGTTACTGCAGATCATTGAAACAGAATACAAATATAAGGCTCTTTAGGAAGGAATTCCTAATGAGACTTCAGCTGTTTCACATCCAGAAATGCCTACCTGTAGTATTTTGTGGGACTGTCACAGGGCACATTGATGTGGCTAATTGCATCCCATTTCTTTAGGAGATGATGAGCAAAGTGATTGGTTTTATGAAGGAGAATGTGTTCCAGGATTCACTGTCCCCAACCTTCTTCCCAAGTGGGGAGCTGACCACCGATCTGAAGTGGAGCGGATTGACTCAGGCCTGGACAAGCTCTCAGATTCCACATTCCTTTTGCCCTCGCGGCCAGCTCAGAGAGGTGAGGTCCATAAGGAAAGCCATGTGTTTGAAAACTTTTGATGTGATGGCAAGAGTAGATTCTGTTTATAGGTGCTGCAATTTAAACTGATATTAGTGATCTGCTTTTTTTTTTAATGATCCAATTAAAAATAGCTGCACTACTGGAGAGGATACTAAAATACTCATACCAGCTGCCTACATTCTTGAGTCTTCTTTTTTTCTAAATATGGATTTTTATTTGATTTGTAAATAAATTGGCATATCTACCTCTTGCAGATTGAGAAATAAGAGAGAGATAAGAGAGGATCTGATTTGGCCGTGGAACTAACTGGTTTTCCTGGTGGTTTTGTCAGGAAGAATCTTCTGTATTCGTTGCTCAGTTTTCTGGGTTTGTTTTTCAGGATTTCATGCTCGCCTGAATCGCCTTCCAGGAGCTGCTGCCCGTTGTCTCCGAAAAGGTCGGAGGAGGCTTGTCGGCAAGGTATTCCCTTTTGCAGGATAATAATTTTGTATTTCCAATGCTGATCAGGCCTGAAGTACTGTTCTAAGATATCATGTGAATTATTTTCTGCAGAAAGGGACCCTGTACATTTTTTTTGTTTCGTGTATTGTTTGATTTGTTTAGCTGCTTTGACTGTCAGAAGTTGATTGAGTGACTAAGTGGATTTTAAGGCAGGTTTGGAGTGGCAAAGACAGCTGATCAGTGCTAAAAGCAGTATGAGAAGAGGTCTGAAGATGAATGATGGGGAACATAAATATCAAGAAGACTTAGACAGAATGTAGGGGAGAATGACCATGGCATGAGACTTGTGCATGCTCATAATCTGAGACTACAAGGGCAGAGAGGTGACTCAAAGGTGAAGGAAGGCCAAATTTTAGATAGGGAAGCAGACTGATATGAATGGCAGCAAAGGAAGGTGATTTTAGCAGTAGTGTTTTTAGTGGGGAGACAGAAGAACAAAAGGGTATATGCAATAATGCAGACAAAGTTACCCAGAGCCATTGACTAGGTTTATTATAGGTAGGGCAAACAACAAACAAAATATTAGTCCTGTTTGTAAAGGAATAAGCAACACTTTGCAGATGCCTGTCTAAAAGAGGGAGGGATATACCTGGTTGGGTCTGGATCTTGGAGAGTTGAGTGCTGCTGTCTGTCATAAAAGATGTTTCTGAGAGGGAAGGTGTTGACTGTGTTTGGCTTTACTTTTACAGGGATGTGCTCTGTGCTTTTGAAAATATTTGTATATATTCTGAGCTGACTGGCTTTAGAGAGTCTGTTAGTAAGGTGTGTTAGAGGGGCCCAGAGTCTAGAGGAGTGCGACTTCTTCCTTCTGTTCAGTCACACTTGAAAGATCCTTGTTTGCCCCTTCTTTCTTCCACTCACCTTGCTTAGTTGCAACCGGTGTTTAAAATATGAATCCTCAGCTGGCAGGAGACTGGCTTTGGGTAGGGTTCCTCAGGCCACCTGCAAGCGGCTGGGCCTGTTGGCAGCACCTCTAATGATCCAAATGAGAAGGATAATATTTACTTGTTTAATTCATCTTCATCACCTTAAAGGGATCTTTGTCATTTGCAGCGGAGGTCACTGCTCCCCCTTCCCCATCTCTCTCTAAATTGTAATCATAAATAATGAGTTTCATTCAGAGCTCCCCGCCAGCGAGCTGCTAATTACCAAAAGTATGGCTTGTAATTTACACAGTAATAAACCGTAAATTTAAACATTACGGCACTTTAAGTTAATAATTTTCCTGCTGTAACAAATAGCCCATCTTTCACCCCTGCTGCTACAACTCCCCCCAAACTTTGCGTGTGTTTTGCCTGTGTACCTGGCACAGGTATTCTGTGAAGAATCTTACCTGTGAAAGCCTTTTACCCTCATCTTCAGACCCTTACTGCAAAATATATTTCTTTCTTGGAGGTAGTTGCTAAGCAGGTATGAACAGCTGGTGCTTCAGGCTGTGTGTGTACGTGTTACGCCAGCATCAAGCACATACACAGGGCAGTGTCTCGCAGGGAGAAACGTGCTCCCAGAGCAGGTCCCTTCTCCTAGGATCTACCTTTTCTTTACCTGCTAGAGGTCATGCTGCTGAATTGCTGCTTTCAGAAAAGGCAAAAGCTTCATGCATACTCCTTGTTTCATTCACCTGTGCTTGGTGAATCCCCATTGTTAGTGGGACAATGTGATGTCCTGTCTCTCAGCCTGTTTCTGGCCCAGCTGACCCCCAGCAACCTGGAAATAAGCACTTCTCAGCCATTTCCCCTGTTCTTAACTGCATCCTTGTGCTGGTCCAGTCCTTGGTGTGCCCCTGTGCAAGCAAATATAGTCACTAAAATAAAAAAAAGCCCCACAAATAAAACAAAATTATTTTCTGCTATTCTAATTAGTTAAATCAGCTCAGTTCAGGTTCTAAAAGGAGAGGGTAAATAATGTTTAGCTGAGAGTGGGCTGGGAAGGAATGGATGTGGCCCAGGGGAGCAAGATCTGTTCTTATTAGCAGCAGCAAACTATTGTGTCTGCTCACTGTGTGAGAGTCTGCAACCTTTTACCTGTCTTTGTGTTTCAGGAGACCTCCATGAGCACTCTGGGCACCGAGAGGCTAGGTCATATTGTTAGTGATCCGCGCCAGAAAGAGTAAGGCCCTTAACAACTGTTGCGTAGAACTTTGGGAGGGGAGGAAGAACTGTAGGGTCCTCTTCCCTCCTGGGACTGAAGGGAATGAAGAGCTGGGTGGTAACTTAAGCATGCAGTGACTTGTGGAATGGGAGACAGTCCTCTACTGATTGACTTCTCCATTTTCTTATTTGCAACTGCTGACTTCTCTTTTGTTTATAAGGCTGCCCCAGTGTGTGGACGCTGCTCAGATGCCCTTCTGGTTACAGTCAGCTTTTTCTTTCCCCCTCCCATATAATGTGCGATTGCAATAACTGCAGATCTTCTGCACAGTATAAGATGACTGAGCCCTGTATGTTGGTTATTTAAAAAGCGTCTGTGTGGAGTCACACTATGGGTGCATACCCAGATGGCAGAAATGATGCTGACAAGGCAGCTGTGAAATTCCTTTCTCTTTCTTTGGCGTTCTGTCTTCTTCCCCAATTAGTATATTTAAATTGTAGTCAGCACCGGAGATAGTTATGGCGCGTATCCTTTGGCATCCCTCTAATGCTATTCTTGTTGGGCAATGGATAGGTAAGGGTGGCACCTCTTGACTGTAGTGCAGTGGGTCCAGCCTTCACCAGCTGTTGGCATCCAGTTTTCTTCCTTGGATCTGAAATTCGTTGTTTTTAATATGAGTCCTGCTGATGTTTAATCTTTCTCCTTCTCCCTCCATCTTTGTTCTTCCCTTCCCCTTCTCTCCCTACCTGCAACCCTCCTTTTTTTTTCCCTCATGTTCTCTCCTTCCTTGGCATTGCTCCCACCTGTCCTTTCGACTGCCTCCTTCCAGTTTTTGGTTACCATCCGTGGGGAAGAGAGATCGCAACCAGGTAAGCTGACTCTGCTCTACCTTTTTTATTTTCTTGGTTTCCTTCTCTCTAGAAAGAACAAAGTGCCGGCTTCTGATTTCCCACACACTGTGGCCTGTGCACATGAGGTAAGGCAGCCTGTCCCTTCTCATTTTGGTAACTGATGTCTTCTGGGCTTTGAACACAACCCATGTCTCTGGCGTTATATTGTCTATTTAAACTGAATAGCTGAGGAATTCCTTTTGTTTATCTCCCTGTTTCAGGTTAGTGTAGGCCTTCATCTCTGACAGTGAGTGGGAGGGAAAATGCCTTTTGGCAGGAGGAACTTTGGCCTCTCAAAATTCCATAAAAATTGGAACATTTTTCTCTTTTTAAATGCTCTGTTTTGTCTTGTTTGGCTCAGGCTTCTACCTGATAGTCTCATCAACAGAGAAGGGAAAAAAATGATGAGCTAATTGTAGTTAAATAGCAGCTGTAACAGGAAAACGTAAGAGGTGATAAGCAAGAGAAGTAGGCTTTCTTTTAACTGAAAGTCTTGTGTATGCACTTCTATATTCTTCAGGAAGTCTTTCATAGCTTCAGTGTTAGGAGGCTTTTTTACTTAAGATATAAGAGCTCGGGTTCTTGATAGCAAAAAGCGAAACAGATCCTCCATTTGAACAGTCATGTTGTAACAGTGTTCCTAGCCATGCATGCTCCCTTCTGTTGCTTTGCAAGTTGTTTCTTGGTCGGCGAGCAGTAGGATTGAAATCTGTTTTATCCTTCAGGTGACTAAAAATACATATATGGCAAGAAATAATTTTCAAGCCCTTGTGCAATTGTCAATGAGAACATTTCATGTACCACTTTTATATTGCCAAAGATAAGAATAATAACTACATAAGCTTTAAAATGACCAGAATGAATTACTTTTTCTTTTCTTAAATGAATTTGAATCAGCTACAAAGGGTTACTGGTGATTCTCCCCTGCTGTGCAGCTGCAGCGTTACTTCACTGACAGTAAATAACAGTCTGACTTAAGGAGGAGCTCCCTGACAGCAGCAGCTTTTTAGTGCGTAGTGCCTCTTCTTTCTCAGAAAGATTGAAGGCAAAGGCCTAGTACCAAGTTCTGGAGTAGCAGATAGCTTTTATGAGGAGTCCTGCTACAGCTGTGGATTATTCATTTGTCCTTGTTTAAAAACGCATCAGTAATCCTAGTAATACAAGAACAGTGTTCTGGAGATTGGTGTAGCACTTTGCAAAGCAGATAGAAATGAATTTCCTGCTTGTGGTGTGAATTATAAATAAAGAGGAGATGCTAAATGGAAGTGTAATGCAGGTACCCCAGAGAAACTACCAGGCTAAACCTGCTATTTGCATGTTGAGCAAAGTTTGCTCCATGCATTGATTGACTAGATTATTCCATTTCTGTCCTGACCTTTAAAAAAATCTTAAGAGTTGCGTCTTCTGCAGCAAGCTGTCTTGCACAGGTTTGATGCCTTCAGGATTTGTCTCGTATATGTCTAACAAAGGATCTAAGATTAGCCTGACCATGCAGTGTTTCAGAAATCTGTTTTAAGCAGTTTGCAAAGAAAGCTTGGAGGTGGGTTGGGAGTGGGAGGAGCACTCACTTGCTGTGGAATGAATTGGGAGCTCATTGTGAACTGAACCTGGTGGGCCTGAGTCTTCTAGAGCTCTGTTTCAGTGATACATATGCCCACAGGTAATATTGGAACTGCTCTGTGGGAAGTTCTGTGCTTGCACCCATAACAGTGACATTTGTCTCTACAATGTGAAAGTAGACAAGAGGCTTCCCAAAAGGGAGGCAGACATTTTGCTCATGGCATGCAGCAGTAGAGCTCTTTGAGTATGTTCTTAGTCAACCAGCATTTGTAATAATGCAAGTTGAAAGAGGGGTGTGCTTATAAGGCTGTCTGTTGTGAGAAGATGGTTATGAGATTTGCTGTTGCACCCCATGCTAGTGTTTTGTCTGAAGTGAGAGTCAGTTCTCACCTAGTCTCACCCCTTGATGTGTCAGAAAGGTCTCCCTATACTGTATGAACAACTATAGGGAATAGATCTGAGCAGCTGTATCTGGAGACTATTTCTTTTAATGCTTTGCTTAAATAAAATCTCTTGACTTTCCAGTTCAATCCATTATCTCCTCTGTACTCTCTGGATGTGCTTGCTGATGCTTCCCACCGAAGATGCTCACCAGCACACTGCACTGCCAGGTAACTCCCTTGCTCTGCTCTGTTGGGGTTGTCTCACTTCCCTCCCATCGTTATCTTCAGTAGTACTATGTGGTCTGAACAATACTCATGGATCTGGAATTTAATGCACTTTTCCGTAGGAGGCCTGTGTTCAAACTTAGCATAAAACATACTGATGCAGAGTATTTGAGAGTCTCAGTACACTAAGCACTTAAGAGTATATGAAACAGTGTATGACAGACAGGCAGAACATACTGTGCTTTTAGAAGTAAATGTGATCTGTTCTGGATTGTGCAGTGAGTTGCTGCAAGTCTGTTGTATAGGTACAAATGGCATAGTATTGTTGCCCACTATTAAAATCGGAACAGAGGGAAAGTGCTGACATGCTCATGTGGGTGACATGCTGAGGCATTTTGGTATCCTGGGTGCCTAAAATAGACCCTCTGAACAGATTCGGAATCACCTGAGGTGACCTCTAATGGCTTGATATCTCTCTCTATTGCTATAGCTGAAATTTAGATCTGGTCTGGCCAAACATTGAGGTATATTTGAGTCTGCATATTTGGGGTTAATATGCTATTCAGGTACCTTCTGCTGACTAATTCTAAATTAAATTCAAGTGTTGGCCTTGGAGGTGACACCTGTTCTTGTGCTGCAGGTGACTATCTAAAGGTAAGGTGCCCTTGAGCATTTTCCCCATGCAAGGAAACGAAGTCTTGCTTGGGACACAATTTGGCTTATGTGCTTGTACGAAGGACCAAATCTGAAAGAAACGTCTGGACTTTCAGCTTCATGGTTTTCTTTCCCTTGTTAATTAGCAAATAGAGCATGAAAAATGTACTGAGGTTGTATGTGTCTGAATGAAAGCTTGGCACCCACCCAGCAAAGCCTCTCCTCCCACTGGCTTCTGCAGGGAATTTTGTGATGTCGCACCATGACCTCATGCTGCTGTAGCCAGCATGTTAAAGCTGGAACGGGGGAGGGAGGAAGAAACCAGCTCTTAAGCATTCAGCTGGATGAGAATAAAAAGAATTCAGAAGATTGTGCATCAGCAAATTGGTTCCTTTCTGTGCTTTTGCCCCAGTGTGGGGATGTTTTGTGCCCATGAAGCAAGAAGATTGATTGGTCTCTCCATTTACAGCTAGGATAACCTTTCTGGTGCCTCGAGTGTTTTACTTGGCACTCTACAGAAGTTTGTCTTCCAGAAAGGAAAGCTAGACAAATCCTGTTCATGAATTCAAACAGGGCAAAGTCTCTACCTTTATGATGATCAGTGAAGGACCTTTCCAAAGCTACTGGTTATGGCAAGCGATTTCTGAACCTGGAGGGATCATGTTTGCTTGGTTTTGCTGAATATGTAGTCTAGTTAACCAATGAATATATGCTTGGTTCCTTCCTCTAATGAACAGGTGACTGGTTTTCCTGACAAACATAATCCCTGATGAATTGTTACTGAACGTTGGCAGAGAAGTTGTTCCATCCCAGAGGCGGCTGTGTTTTTAAGTGTCTGTAGTTTGAGAAAGTAGTTCCTATTTTAGTGTGAAATGTGCTTAAGAATCTGTATAGGAGAAAGAAATATGGAAAGAATGAATGTGTTACGTGGCCCCATGTACGTGGCAAGGACTGAACTCTTCAGTGCAAGGTGCTTGCTTTATGTAAAGATGCTGCCAAGGGCACAGAAGGAAATTGTTCCTTCACAGAAACATTTTCTTGACCATAGTTGTTCTTTAGGTGCTTCAAGAGCTAAGCCATTTGCTTACAGGAGCTTCAGGTGGTATCTGTAAGTGCTGTTCAGCCATTGCCCGAATTCACATCTTCTTCTCTTGCCATGGATGGAGTCAGTTTCAGTAGTTTGTGCTTTAGTAAGCTCCTAACAGCTTGCACCTCATCCTGGAGAAACTCTACTCAGAAATTTGTCAGAATGGTGTGTGTGGGAAGCTAATCCCCTGAGAATGATATGAAATGTATTAGAGAAGAGACTGTCTTGATGTTGTGGACATGCAATTTCTTCAACCTGATGCCCACCGTGCCATGCAAAATTACCTCTCTCTGTTTAGTTTCTGCTATCATGAATGTGTCCAGTGGAGTATAGTTACCAGGTGGAGTCTTTTCTCTCCCATGGAAATGTTTTCTTTGTCTCAGTTGTGGATTTTGGTGCAGTTCATCTAGAAGACTGGTAACCCAGTGCTTCGTTTAAGCAGAACGTTTAAGCCAGAATACTGAGCACAGTTGGGGGTGTTCAAGAAAGGCTTTGTAGTGTCAAGGAAGAGGTTCTATGTGGAGGGTTCCTTGGGAAGTCTTATTTGAAAGGCTGTATAAATTGTACACTACCAAGATTACCTTTCTTGCTTTATGTCTGTGATGAGAAGAGATTTCATTCAAAGTGTATGCACAGCACTGGGAATTTCACACCCATCATTAGAAGCAGTTTTGTGTGTGTGGTGACTGTTATCATTAGTGGTATAATTTTATTTTGTGAAGCAAGGAGAGTTTCCTGCTTTCTTGCAGTCCTCCCGAGGGACGGCTGGTGTATTAATTTGCTGTATTGCCTCCTGGCTGTTCCCAGGCTGTTTTCCTCTTCATCATGGAATTTTTAATGGCCCTGCTGCCTCTCGGGAGGCATGCAAGGAAGAGTACCTCAGGGATCTCTTCCTTTTTCACATGCCTATAATTACTCTCCTTTAAGAGCACAAAGCGTTTGCTAATCATGTCTTGTCTGTTAAGGTTTCAGCTTGACGATGCAGGCTGTTAAAAGCAAGCAAGTACAGACTTGCATGGACAGCCCAAGTAATCCTTCCCCTCTTTTCCCTCTGCCCATTTGCCTTTCTGGGAAAAAGGAAGGGTCTGAACAGAATTTTCTTTTTTAACTAATTCTACTTAAGAGGATTTTGTACTGGCTCAAGCGGAATATCTTCTTAGATTTTGGTTATTCAATGGCTCTATCAGTGGGAAGAAGTTATAGGTTGGTCGTTGGTGGAATGTTGTTCCCTTGAGTCAGGGTAAGAGTTTCAGAAGAGCCTAGAGCCAATGTTCCCTTCAATTTGAGTTTGAATAGCAGGTAGAATAAGAGAGGAAGGTAGAAGATAAATTGTCCCTAATGCCATTTATTGTTTGCCTAGCCTTGAAAATAGGGTTATGGGTGAAAAACTCAATTAAATGTTCCTGCTGGAGGTCATAGGAAAAGTGGACCTCAGATGGCAAGTAGATGTTGCAGGTTTGAAGAATTATGTTAGAGGGACCTCCGAACAGTACAGATGAATCGAAGAAAATTGCTTTGCATGTACTCTCAGTTAATATTAACTGTAAACCTAGAGTTTAATTGGGTTTAGAAGCAAGTCCCTCATTTTGCCTGGAGCATGGGATAAATATGTAAAGGAGTGAGTGATCATCTCCTAGTAAACTGCCAGTTGCTCCATACCCTGGATTTGGTGGTACTGTTAGAGTGAAAAGGCTTGAATGTCTCTAATTCTAATTCCAGCTCTGGAAATATGCTCATCAAAGTAATTCTTGTTCTTTCTTTTCTGTATCTGTGCGGAGATCCTGACATTTCCGCCTCTTACCCAAGCATGTGGAAGTATAGGGATTGCCCACAATTTCAAGCCTTTCCTGAGGCAGCTGAAGGAGTGAATGGATGTTCACAATTTCATGCTGTCCCACTTGACCATGACAGTATCCACTTCATTCTGTGCAACCTATGCACACATCTTCATCTTCCTGGAATTGTCTTTATGTAAAAATGTCTGCTGTCAACTGCTTTAGGCATCTTTCTCCCTAGTTTTTTTTTTTTTTTTTTTTTAAAAAACTCCTTTTCCATCTAGCTGGAGCACTTTAATATCTTCCTTTGCTAAAGCCTAGCTAATGTTGCAGTTAGGGATAAAACTGATTTTTTCTGACAGGCATGCAGTGAACAGCAGCTATCAACCTAGTGTCACATGCAGTTGTCTGAGGCCTAATGCTCCCATTTTGGTGAATCCTAATTCTCTGGAGTGAAAAATAAATTCCCCTTGGCTTTAGAACTTTGCTACTGCTTTCAGGAAGCTATTGCTTTCTTTGCCTGTAAAGCATGTTGCCACTATCAAATCTGTGTGCTCAGCAGGTCTAGCAAATATTAGGACTCTTTCTGGCACAGATACCGTGATTCAGTATGAAAACAGAGAATGCAATATATGGGATCACATCATCTCTGCGTAGAATGCTTACCTGGAAAACTAGAAGAAATGTGTTCCCTTACATTTGCCACACACAGACTCTTAGGAATGGAATTGCTATGTCATTGGAATGCGTACTTGGGGAACAGACTGCTGCTGCACGAAGACCTATGAGATTCAGATGATTTAAGAAGTGGGCTGACGTGTTAGTGTTAGTGATTTTTTGGAATCTGAAAATGTTCTCTAGAAGGTCTCCCGTGAAGAGACTGCTATGCACAGGAAATATCTGCAGTGTGATGTGACAGCAAGAACCACTTGCATGCATGGGAGCTTTGCGTGCAGATTGGATGAGCAACTTGTATTGATTTACACCTGCTACGTGCAGATCAGACTTTGGTGCCCAGCTGGCTCTATAGTCAAAGAGGAGGAATAACTCTGCTTTTGCTATTAATTTTGTGAAGCCACCATCAACAGCCTCAGATGACACTTAAGGGCTGAGAGAGCAAGCCTTTTATTTGGCCTGTGTTTGCTGGGAATATAGCATCACAACAGCAACAGCTGGGTTGTGTGGAGTTTTAGTAGCTGTATCCTTGTTAGAAGGCTGTCTCTGTTGAACATTTACTTTAACATGAGGATAATAGCATCCCTTGTTTGTATGACAGTAGATTAATGGCTGCCTCTCACTACATAACCCAAGTGCTTTGCTTCCTCCAAGGGTAGGGTTAGGATAAAGATTGTCAGCAGAGAAGCTGGATGATGTGAGATTACAGCAAGAGACATACACCCCCAAGTGTGCGATGCGCCTCCTGCCTCCAAGAAGGCCACAGACTGTCACAGTTAGCTCTGCAGAGTCTTTTCCAAGACCTCTGTTGTGAGATTGAGGTGTGTTTTACCCTGCATTTTGACAGAGTGGACATCACTTCACAGTCTAGACTTTTCTTCACAGGTGGTGAAGGTTTCAGGGGCCTGATGCTATTCATTAAAGTTCTTTGTGGACTGGTGTCTGCTTGTGCTCTGTATTGTCTCCCACAGATTGTACTGCCAATCCTAATTTTCTGTTGAAACCCTGTGGTAGATGTAAAACAGTGGCAAGTTCCTGTGACCATATAGTCCAGCATGTGGTCACCTTGAACTGTAGGAGTGAGATAGGTCCAGTGTATGCAATTACAGTTAATTTAAAAAAAAAAAAAAAGTCATAGAATAAATATGTGGAAAAGAAAAGAAAGGAAGCATTACTTCTGACACATTAGACCCAGCAATGAATCTCAGCTTTATGCATAGCAAAGCCCACTTTTTCTCCAGCGTGACCTGCATGCAGAATCAGGTACCTTAAGTACTATGTTAAGAACAAGACACAAATCCATATTTCCTGGATAATTCCTTTAGTTTGTGATTAAATAAAAAAAAATCATTACTGTCAAAAAGAGACTATAGAGTTTTTTTCATATAAGACCATTTTTTCATACGTATGTAATTTTTCATTCACTAACTCCTGGTAGTGAGAGGCTACAGTGTGAATTGGATATATTGCAGCCATCAGCGTAGCTGCACTTTGGATCCTGCTTTGTCTCTCCAGGTGTGTTCTGCTTTTTCCCTTCCCAGGTTAGAATTTCAGTCCTCTCTAGACTGTAAACTATGTTTTCACATTAGTCTCTGGCCACCTAGCAGATCCAGCTGTGACTGAGCACAGTGACTTTGGTTTTTTCTTATGATCAACCAGCCATAGTCCAAAAGTAACCAGACAGTTATTTTCTAATTACTGTTTGTGCAACACTGAAGACTTCAAAGTATAGATGCCCAGAAGAGATTGCAAGCCAGTAAGGACAGAGTAAGTGCCATTCTAGTTTCTCAGTTTTGGGCCCAGGTCTTTCATCCCACAAAGCTCTGTGCCTCAGACTTCTTCACAGAGGGGCTTGTGACAATGCATGAATGTGCATTTTCTGTCAGCCTTTCCTCTCAGCCCTGTTCTGTTCTGCTTCAGAGTAATTTTTAAACTGTTCAGAAGAGTTGTTAAAATTCAGCTTTGGCAGAAAAACTAATTCATGGTTGCAGCCTGTCAGTGAGACTTTCACAATTTATAGTTCAGCCTGTCCCCTGCAATGTTCTGTGCTGTGCATACCCATGATCTGACTTTCCTGCTAGTGGTGTTTCTAGGAATCTGCTGCTAAACTGGGATTCACCAACTATATTGTCTTACTGATAGAGCACCTGTATGCAAGCTAGTGATTAGAAATTTAGATTGAAAAGTGTGGTATCTACCAAAAAATGCATATTTCATAAATTATACCTCAGACACCCTTTCTGTCCACGTCTTAATGAGGACTATAATCCCTGCATGCATTCTTCTGCTCCTCTCTCTCCCAAGGTACCTACCACCTGGAGATTCCCTGTATGCAGATTTATGGTGCCTGTAAAGTGCACCAGCCACTTGAAACTGACACTTTTACCACCAGGTCAGACAGACCCAGTGAGTAATCAATAGGTTCCTGATTTACTAACTGAAGTGTGGGTGATCAATAAGGGATAAACGTGAATGAAATACATGTTACAGAGACAATTTATGACCTCTGAGCCTTTGTGTGTCAGAGGCAGGCCTGCTAGATGCAGCGTCCTTGCTATTAGTCTCCAGCTGGAGTATGATTTGCCTTTACTTTCACTACAGGAAGGGATTCTGAGATCTTCATATTCTGTTTTAATTTTTTTTTTTTACTCCTGTGTAATCATGGGGTAAGACTAGATGTGGTTTGAGCATGGAGCTGAGGGCTAGGAGCTCTTATTCAAAATCTAGCTGTAACATTTGTGAACTGGGAAAAACTGCATAAAGTCTCTTGGAAGTGATAGTGCATACTTCTTTCCTAGTCCGTAGTGATTCTCCACCAAGGATCAGCTGGCTAATGTTGGTGTAAGTTCATAAAATTAAAAAGGGAACATTATTATTATTATTATGCGATACAAATGAGTTGGATTATTATATATAATTATGTAGTCATCTAGTTAGTAATCTAATACTGTGTCACTGATGCAAAATAAAAAAAAATGAAGTTCCACTTGATTGAGACTGTCTTTTCCTTGGGCTGTGTGTGTGCCTAGATGTTTCAGAATACGTGGTAGAACATGTGCTAAAATACTATATATAGCCACTATCATAATTATGTACGAAAGCAGTTTTTAGCATATACGAAGTCACTTAGAGGTTAGTCCCTTATGTGTACAAACACAAGTTTTGAATATGAGGTCTATATGTTTGCTGGTATTTTTGAAAGCCTTTAGTTCATGATTTCAGGAGGCTTCTGTGTCTGGTTATACTAATATGCATGTGAAACATCGGCTGCCAGTGAAACTTAGCACAACTTAAAAATTTTTGAAACCACTCCTTAATGTCAGATTTAGATGACAGATCTTGTAGACTTCTTGCAGAACTTTTGAATTTTAGTTGAGAAGACAGAACGGTAGATATGAATTTCTTACTTTGTGGTTACGCATTTGTTACAGGTAAGTAGGTAGACCCAGCAGCATTCAAACAATTTATAGTCTTGGCTGGTACGGGAAATTTTTTGTGCTCCCTACATTGTTCTGTATAGCTACAACAGCACGCTCTGGTTTTGCATAAATTCAGCATCTAAAATTGTATATATTATAAATATGCTGCTTTTTTTTAAATAGATTTTGACATGGAAATATGAAGCCATGAACTTCCTTTTATCTAGAAAAGATTTCAGTACTTGATAAATATGTTTGTTAAACTTTCAGGATTGTTTTTTTTAAATCAAAATAACAAGCTTTAAAGACACAGAAGCTTTTCATCACTTAATCATCAAATTTTATACGGTTCCAATCTTTACACCATGTAAGCACCTCACAATCTTTAATGGATTTTATTTGCACTGTAGTTCTGCATTTTGCACATCAAATCTGATGCAGAGAGCGACCAAGGAACTTGCCAAAGAAACTCTGTTATCTCAGACAAAGCAGGGATTTGAACCCAACGTCATTGTTAAATTATGCATTTGTATTCATTATGGATTGTATTTGAGAAAATTTTCTGGTCTGCTGCCAAGACTGTCTTTTTCTGAATTAAACTTCTTCCTACATCTAGAACTTGGAGGAGTGCTCAGTTCAAGTCAGTCCCAATAATGCAGGTTTCTTCTTAATTGGCAAATGGTTAAACTGAAGTGGTCATCAGTAGGCTTCAGACTTAACAGTTGGTATGACCAGGACAGATGATGCCTTTCAGCCGGTTTACAGGTGCAGTGAGGCTGTATTACCATAAGCCAGATTCAGCTGTTTTCACAGCACTTTGATACAGAATTCCTAATTTGAAAAGGCATGAGAGAGTTTTGCATTCCTAACTTTATGAACTTACTACTGTAGTGGAAACAGTATGCACGGACATTTGGAATATAGGTACATTCTAAGATGACTCCACAGTACTAAATAGGTTGCAAAATAATTTCTGAATAAGGGAGGAAATATCATGCAATTTCTTTAAAGAGCAATCTTGCAGACATTTGTTACACTTTATAGAAATAATGGTAGGACATGCGTGGTATCACTGCTTGACTACATCTTTACTTATGCAAAGAGTTACTTTAAAGTTAATACAAAACCAGATCCTTTAAAGGCTAAGAAATAATTGTTCTTCTGAGCAGTTTATGTGTGTGAGCTCTTAAAAGAAATGGGAGCATAATGGTATATTAATGAAGAATGTGGGCAAAACTTCCCTGAGAAGCTTTTGATTTCTGCTGCCTACTAGTTAAGAAGCTGATGGGAAGGTGGGAGTTGGAGGGCGATTGGCCAGAGTCTTACAGGAAGGTGATACTGGAACAGAGTTTAATTTGTTTTAATTTCTCTATAGGCAAGCAAATGTACACCTGGGTCCACCGTGTTCAAGGGACATCAAGAGGAAACGAAAGCCAGCTGCAGCCTCCATGTCCAGCCCAACATCAGGTAACCTGGATTTATCTGTGTGCCAGCATTTCTAAAGTCATGTCCCTCTTGAGCAAAGTGCCAGAGTCACAATAGTCAAAAATAGCATTACCTTGATTTGAAGCTAATGAAACGTGTGTGAGAAAGGCAATGTATGAGAGAGAATATCATGTGTTCTTGCATAGCATCAAAAGCTGCCTACTAAACAAATCTGTGATGATGCAGCTATGGTAAGTTAATATAATTTACAGTGCTTCACTGTACAGTGGGTAATAATCTGTTTACTCATAAGGTCTTATTTCCACAGTTCCTAAATTATGCAGTACATGGCAATAAGGAGGTGATCGGTATACACAGTGTGTTCCTTCAGTGTTGGGCTGACATTAGCTGGTGGCTCTGGTGTCCTTTTTTGGGGTGTTTCTAGACACTTTCACAGGAGCACAAATCTGGCAATTTTTGTATCATCACTGGGTGGGACCACCTATTCCCTGGGAGTTGTCTTACTCTTGTGCATGAAAATAGTCACTTCTTTCTTTTTCCTGCTCCGGGGATGTAGTGATTAAAATGCTGATCTATTTTTTTGTGGCATATTTCTGAAAAGTGATTGATTACTTATCAGAATCTGGAAAAGTTTTAATCTGCAGAACATAGAGGGGTTTAGGAGACTTCTTTCTGGCCTCTCACCCTACCCCTTTTTGAAATATTTTGCCTACTATCAAGTGACCCATGTTCTTCCAACTAGCTTATTAAAAAACTACTGTTATAATCCAGTAACAAGGCAGTGGGTAAGCTGATGGGGAAACATGGTGATGTGGAAACAGTGGGGAAGGCCAAAGGAACTGATGATGAATATGAGGAACGAAGTTTGGATTTCTTCTTTGGGCTGGTGGATAGACAGTAGAATAACAAAGTGGGAAAGAAAGCTGTGCTAGCTCTCCAGGCCACAGATCTGGATTACAGACTGTCTGAAAGGTTCTGTATTAAAAAAGAGGAGGGAAAAACCCCATTAAATTAATAATCTGTTGCTCAGCAAAAGTGTCATCTGTTATTGACTGTTTATTTAGGATATTTTTTCCTGGCTTTTGAGTATTCCATGCTAGGATATTCAAACTTCTGTAGTGAAAGGGTTAGTAAAGTCATATATCCGTAGCCACAGAATTTTAGTTCTGGCATACTAGGTTTTCTCGGTATGAATGCTAGTGTCTCACTGTCCCCTGTTACCTGTCCATTTATTTGTTGTTCAGAGTGTATTCTGTACTGCATTCCTGGTCACTGTCTATAGGGAGAGCTTCTATTTCTATGCCTACATATTTCAAAATATTATGTAAATTATACTTACCTGACTAGGCAAATTGTATGGTGAACAGTTTTTGAAGAGTTGAATCTGTATCTGGAGTGGAACTCAGCACTGGAAAATAGCACAGAGGTTTGAAAGTGGTTTTTTTTTTTTTTTTTAGGGATGAGGGAGACAAAATTAGAGTATATATTACAAAATAAGGAAGGAGTGTAGTTACTGGAATCCAGACAGGATGCTTGTGCTGATCATCAAGAGAAAAGTGCTGCAAGATCTTGAAGGGTCAGAAATGGTAAAGATCTTTTCTTTAGACCCTGTTCAGAAATATTTCCAGCCAAGTTAATGCCTGTGGGCTTGCTACAATACTGACTTGTGGAAAGAAACTTTTATGATTGGATAACTGAAGCTGTGTCCTAGCTGACTTTCTACAGCAGTCTCCCAGTTGTAGCTGGAGCACAACCTGGGCATGTAACTTGGAAACTTCTGAAATCTCATATTATTTCTGTCAAAAGTGATCTCACTGTGGAATTACTAATGCCTAAAGAAATACATGGGATTACTCTGCAATAATGTAGAAATAACTGAAGACTCTTATGCTTGTTAGACATTGATGAGATAAATACAGATTTTTTTTTTCCCTTGCCACACATCTACTTGTCCCTACATAAATGTCTTATACTGGGGTTCCCCTGTACCTGAGGAATCAAGGCAGCCTTATTTTCTCACTACAGACGCTTTTTATATTGTGGTGTTTTACTACTTCTGCAAAAGATGAAACACAGGTGAATCAGAATGCAGGCCCATGCCTGTCACTGCAGGCACACTGAGTGCTGAATTTCTTCACCTTTAAATAGCTCCTTAGCTGAGTCCAACTGCTCTCGTCTCACTTGTTGACCAGGTCCTGCTTCAGTGATCTCCTTTTTTGCAACCTGAGTGCCCCATGGAGGTGAAGGACACAGCCTGAGCTGGCTCCATCAGTCAGCAGAACAAATGGGCTTGCTCTGCTGAACATCGGGCCATCTCGGATTCCACTTCTTTTGTAGAGATGAGTGATGAAGAGGGGCTCGTTCTGCTTTGCCGCTGTATTAATACACATCAGGGACCAGCTCCCGGCACTAAATCACGCTACTGCATACATCTGTTATCGGACTCCTCACCAGTGTGATGAACAAGACTGCAGATAGAGGCTTCCTCGTGTCATTCTTTATAAGATTTTCCTAAAAGAATAAATAGCTCAAATCTCTGCCAACACTCTCCCCTGTCATTGTGATGAATTTAGCTTCTTTCTTAAACATGCAGCTACAAATCTTCCCCTGTCACCTCACCCACCCCCCCACCCCCCCGAAAGTTTGGAGTTGAATTTGGCTGAAATCAGAAGATGCTAATAAAAGGCATATGAGATGTGGATGCTATCTCCCTTCTAGCTGCAGGAATGAGAGAAGGGGAGCTAGAGATATGTTTATTTGGGAGCCAAGCAAACTAAGTTTATTCTGTGTCTTCTCACATACTTTTCATGAATAGGAGTATTTATGGGTTCTGGGAAAGGATCTTTTCTCAGAGACCCTTGTTTGAATATCAAAAACTATGCATTCCTGTAGCAGAAGTGCCTTGGTCTCTACTGTATTGTTGTAGCTTTAAACTTCTGGTATTAGTCCTGCCCTTTGAGGCTAACTGGCCTAAATACCATAACTGAGATAGCTGTTAAAGAATAGCATTTTAGAAAAAGGCATGGCTGCTGAGAGGAACAAAAAGTGAGTAGAAAATTCAGAATTCACTTGCACTTCAGGAAGTGACTGTTATCAAAAGTAAGTTGGGCAAACTTCTGCAAATGTTGAGAGATGGAAAATGAAAGTTAGCGCTTTCCACACTAGACAATTAAGCAGTATGTGAGCCCTAAAGCATGAGGCGTTCACCAGGTAAGAACAAAAGTCTGGCTGGTGTAGTTTGGCAGTAGAATAAGGAAATCTGGATGAAGTAAGACTGGCTGTACCGGATTAGACCAGAAGTTCATCTAACTCAGTGACCAACAGCCAGTGCCTAGGGAAGAAGAAAGTCTGTAGTGATAAAGGTCCTTCGAACTTTCAGTGATCTAAGACTTAGGGGCTTCAAAAGGCATGGACACTGTCCATATGTTTAGTTACTTTCCGTTGCAGTGCAACAGATTTGGAATAGTGTCCTCAGTGGCACAGTAGAACTTGTCTGAGAAATACTGTATAAAATGTTATTCTCATGGTAGTTATTATCTGGTTTGAAAGGGGTCTGATGAAGACTGTCATGTCTGTCTTCTGTTTGTCAGAATAGACCACAAGTATAGATGGTTGTGAAAGAAATGGTGAACAACTGTCTGGCTTTACACTGAGGTTTTTAGTGTTTATGTGGTCCAGTGCCCTGTATATGTAGCAGTGCACATGGTAACTGGCATCCTATTCAGGTATTACAGTGAGTCTGGGGTAAAAATGTGCATAAATAGATTTTTGTTTGCCTTGGCATGTATTCACACTTCGCTTGTGAAAAATAAAAATTTCTAAATGGTGCCAGTTAGCAGCCTCTGAAAATGCTTATCGGAGAACAGTCTGATGAGTAGTAGCAATTTGGTGAAATTTCCCTGTCCTATTTCCTGATAATGCATTCACTCTTTGTCATGGTGTGATGGTACCCAGTAGCAAGAAGCCTGTTTCAGTCCTTTGCTTTTTTTCTTTTTATGAGCAAAGATGGAACGCCTGAGTGGGGAGGCTGCTAGCAAGGAGCCCATAGTGTAGTATTGGTGGTCATTATTAGTTTGAGGACTTTGACTTACTTTTTTTTTATATATTTCATATGACCTTCAGATGGAGGAAGATGATGGGTTAGAGGTAAAATATGCAATGTACTGTTATCAGCTGTGTTGTTGTGGTTGTATGGGAATGACTTACTGTTTTGGATGTACAGAAGCAGGATTGTTGGGGTTCCAGATCTACTGAGTGTGGAACCTGAAGCATTGAACCAGCTTTTTATTTAAACTTCAAAGCAATCAGTCCTCTAGTTGAGGCTTGTTATGGCCTCTTTATCCTTCATCCACTACAGAGCAGCACATGCAACTTGTAGTAAAAACACACAAACAACTATTATCTATTGTGAGAATACAATGAAAAAAGAGATGTGTTTCATACTGAAGCAGTTGCTTATTCAAAAAAATTCTGGTTGCCCCAAAGACTCCTGTGGCAATTGTTCTTTTTTTATTGTGCCCTGTTCTGCTTGTGAGGATTGAGTGATTAGGATACTGAGAATGGGAGTAAACTCTCAGATCTCTAGGTTCCTGACAGTCCTTCTGGAAATTTGGGTGACTGTTGGGTTGAGCTATGGATCTGCAAATCTCTCTTGCTAATTATAGCCTGTCCCATTTTGAAGCAGTGGTTGTACTGAGAAAATGAGAATGGATTCCAACCTAGCTTAGCAAGTAGCTTCTTGTTATAATATGCTGATTTACCATATTGGATATATGTGGAGGTTCACTGCCTTTACTGGGTAAAGAGGAGAGGTATATTTTCGTCTTTAACTGAGATTTGCAACCTGAAATTTGCCAAGCCTTCAGAGACTTTGAAATTCTCAGATACAGGGTTAATTGAGTCTTTGTGGTGTGTTAAGTTATCTTCAGTTGAGTGATTATGAATTGATTCAGTTTAAGTATGGGACAGCTAAAGCTCTTGATTTTCAACGGGAACTCTGCCTGAGGGAACTAGTTAGTGGACTGGGAACGTGGAGTTCTGAATGTGAGAATCATAAGGGCAAGGGTGTTAGTGCTATCAAGAACCTGTATTTCAAAGGAATTTGGCAGGGCAACTTGTGGGAACTTGGTAAATAACACCTTCATATAAGAAATAACATATAGGAAGCGTTTGCCATAAAGTCACTTGTTCTAACTTTTTTTTTTAATTGCCCTTTCCTACTCTCTTCCTCTGTTCCCCCTTTCCTGCAATTTTATGTTCCAGCAACTTTATCTGTCCACATGGATGCAGCAGAGTCAGAGCTACCAGCAACACCATCCCTGAGATCCCAGAACTCTGAGTGGACAGGGAAAACACCAGCAGCCGAGAAAGCCACTATTGCTGCCTCCAGTAACTTTTTTAAAATGCCACCAGAGAAGAGCCCTGGATACAGCTAAAAGGAAGCATTACAACTGTAAAAGCTTGCTGGATTTTGGAAGTGTTTGACTCTGGTGTGTGTCTTCACCAAACATCTTGTTTGGCAGTAGTGATATCTTCAGTATTGGTGCATGATGTGTGCCATCATCCAGACTGATCTGCGTGCCCCACATACCTAAATCATGTTTGTGAATCTATGTTTAAAAAAAGGTAATCAGTGTTGGGACTGCAGTGGCTTTTAAAAATGTTCTTGCTATTGCTGTATTTATTATGCATTCATCTCCTTCCCTGATGCCAGCTCATATGTGCTGGGTCATGTACAGATTCTTTTGGGTTTTCAGATCTTTGTTCACTCCCTGGACATGTTGCTTGTTTGTGCGTTTGGCGTTTTTTTGGTGAAAGTCCCACTACCACCCAGGGAGGCAAAAGTCCCCCTGCTTTCTTCCAGGCCAGGAGGATTTCTTGGCTGGGGAAAGAGGAGGAAATGCAAACAAGTTGAAACATCGAACCTGAATTCTGTATTAGAATGTTTTCAGGCCATGTGCTAATGGACTCGAATCATGTTGCTTCTAGTGAAGCAAATATGGTGCTTGTCCATTCAGAAATTGCCATTGGCTCACTGGCAGCATGGTCCATTAGACCTTTTCTTTCTCCCTTGTTCTGAATGTCTTTAGTCTTGCTTGTGTATTGCATGTTCTTTCCTAAATCTCCTAATGGATAAGGATTTGGGAGAACTACTTGGACATTAATCTGCAAGCTGGTGTCCTGGAAAGGAACCTCGGCCATTGAATATCCTTGGAGTATGGTAGAGGATATACAAAACTTCCATTTCTTGGTGTATAAATTAAAAAATAACTGTTAGCATTTCTAAAGGATGCTTGCCGTTGAAGTTAATATGCCATTGAACAAAAAGCCATTTAAAGTATCGCCTGAGTTCAGAGCATTCTGGGTATTGATCAGACCACTTCTGTCTCATGTTTTCCTCCCTTCAAAAAGTATTGTCTGCTATATCTACTGGAGGTGTCTCCACCTACTGATGATTGTACTTACTCTGCAGCATACACTAAAGAGATTCTCTTCTTTTCATAGCACTTCCACTTGGTCCCCTGTTACTTTCTGTGTCGCAGAATATATGGAGAGTGATTTCTTCCCTCTCTTCTCTTGAATTCTTGATCACACTCCACTTACTTTTCTTGAATTACTCTGTCTAGAACTTACTTGGGGCTGTGTTTCTAGAATATATACCTGCATAGCATGTGTCAAGGAACAGGTGGCCTCATGGCTTCTTAAGTCCTTTAAAAGTAGGATATATTTGTATGCATAGAACTCTTTTTACTTTCCTTACTGGGTGGAGCTTTCAGACAGGACTGTTTAAGCTTGTAAAATTAATTTTGAATGTGGAGGTGCAGTTAGCACTCTTAAGTAGATAACAAAATTTGCATGGTTTTAGTGGTTTTGCAGTGTTCTGCCCTCCCTTATAAATCAAATAGCTGAGGGACAAATTTGATTGTGAGAATATAAAGCGGTGATTTATATTTAACTCTGTATTAAAATGTTAAATGGTCATAACATACACAAAACAAAAATTGAATGACTCGCTAAATCATGATTGACAAATACAGTTATATTACAGACACACTGTCCGTGTCTGATCCCCTAATACCTACTTATTCTTGGGGAGAGATCCAAATTGGATTTATATTTTGCAGCCCAAGCAAACTGTCAGATCCATACATGTAAATCCCTCTCAAAACTATTTTTTTTTTTTTTGGTGGTGGTACAAGTTAGAACTAATTAGAACAGGGAAAGCCTTTTTACCTTGCTGAAGAAGTACAGAGGTCAGTTTGGATTACGGGACAAGCTGTAAGGGTTTTGTGGAGAGATAAGTGTTCCTGTTTTAAAGTAGTCATTGGATTGTCTTATTTTGTATTTATTTTGAGCAGTGGTGCTTAAGAGGTAGCACAGGAAGTCTGAATACTGGACGGCCTGTAATCTAGAATGTACAAAGAAAAGGTAAAGCTGAAGGTAGTAGCTTGCCTATCTAGTACTCGTAAACACAGTGAAGGGGAAAGGTGGTCACATTCTCCTGACAACCTGCAGATAAATTTTAGGATTGGAAGCCTTGTAACCTAACTTGCAGGCTGTTTCAGTGACAGGGAGTGGTTCCCTAAAAGAACATTTGTGCAACTGAGTGTTTTTAATCTCATGAAGGATCCTCCAGAACCTGTCTTAGTTTGAGTCTATTCAACAGACTTACTAGGATTACTGAGCATTCAGCTAAAATTTTAAATTTTGGCTGTTGTGTTCCCCTTTTTAAAACCAATTCTGATATATGTTGTTGCATTCTGAGTATTGTTCATTCAGAGTAGTTCTGTTTCTTCTGTGGTGTCAGGACAGTTTAAAAACTTTTATGAGAGAGGCATTTGAGGTGTTAGGGAATCAATGGCCTTCATCTCACTCATTGTGGCGGGGGAGTTGCCAGACTTCACGAGATTTTTCTCTGGGCGCAGGGGAAGATAATTTATCAGATTTTCCTATTGAGGTCAGTAGCACTGTTCATCTGGTTAAGCCCTTACTTAGGTTGTAAGCTTGTAGGAGGTCTTCCTTGCCTTTAAAGGTTGAATGTACGTGTGGCAGTACTGAAGAGTAACTGTGGCAGGCCTTATCTTGGTAAGCCATACTTCCTGCCATGGCAACTTTCTGGAAGTGGCAGAAGACTCAAGTTCTTGCAGCAGCCCTGTCTTACCTATTTCTAGGTTAGAATCCATTTGCAGGTCAGTCAGGCTCTCAACCAAATTTGATTCTCTTGAGTGGTAGACAAGGTAAATGAACTATCTGTCTTATTACTCCAGGGCATTTATCAAAATTCATCTTCAGACTTCAGTAGCTTGATACAGATTTGAATATTTGCAGCATTCTTAGATGAATGAACTAGGTGCATTGTTTTGTCTCTTTTCCTCTAAGGCAGATTCCTTAGAACTCCCACAGTACTTGCAGTGAAGGACACAGTGCTTCAGATGTGGTTTGCTTGAGTAGAAAGGAATAATAACATGCCTTGATTTGGTAGCTGTGCTTCTACTAAGGAGGTCCAGTATGTGGTTATTGTTTCAAAGATACACAGCTCACTCATATTGGACTTCTTGTCCACCAGGACTCCCCAGGCATTTTCCAAGTTTGTCTTCTCTCCAGTTGTCTTCTCTCCTCGTCCTTATGGGAAGCTTCAACTTCCCAGATATCAACTGGAAATACCATACTGCTGTGACAAGCAAGTCTGAGAAATTCCTGAAGTATGTTGAAGATAATTTCGTGTCACAGGTACTCAGTGAGCCAACTAGGAAAGATGCCCTCCTAGGCTTGTTATTTGTCAGCAGAGAAGGACTTGTGGGAGATGTGATGGTAGGTGGCTGTCTTGGCCACAGTGATCACAAAATGGTTGAGTTTAAAATTTTTGATGTAATGAGAAAAATGGTCAGCAGACTTGCTAACCTGGATTTCAAGAGAGCTGACTTCAAGCTACTCAGTGAGCTAGTTAGCAGCTGGGAATCTGCTTTTGAGGTCTTAGGGGTCCATGAGTGCTGGTCAGTTTTTAAGAACCACCTTTTAAAAGCACAAGAGCAGGCAATCCCATTGTGTTGAAAGTCAAGCAAGTGGTGCAGAAAACCAGTTTGGCTGAACAGGGAACTCTTGGAACTTAGGAGGAAAAAGAAATTGTATGATCTCTGGAAGCAAGGTCAGGCTTTGCAGGAAGATTAGAGAGCTGTGGTTTGCATATGCAGGGAGAAAACACGAAAGGCCAAAGCTTAATTAGAGTTGAAACTGGCCAGTGTTGTGTCAGACAAGAAGAAAAGCTTTTTGAAGTACATTAATAGCAAGAGGAGGTCTAAGGAAAACATTGGACCAATACTTGTTGAAGATGGTCACCTGACAAATCGAGATGAAGAAAAAGTGGAGGGATTCAATGCCTTTTTTGCCTCAGTCTCTAATAATACTGATAGACCTTAGGCTGCCCGGTCCTCTGACTTGGAGGACCATGACTGTGGGAACAGTGACTTTCCCTTTGTGGACACGGAATTTGTAAGGGACTGGTTGTATTAGCTGAATGTTCCTAAGTCCATGAGGCCAGATGGGATTCATCCTAGAATATTGAAGGTGTTGGTGGATGTTACAGTAGGACCCCTCTCAATCATTTACCAAATGTCTTGAGAGTCTGGGGAGGTCCCTGCTGACTGGAAGCTAGCTGGTGTTATTCCAATGTACAAGAAAGGCCTGAGGGAAGACCCAAGAAACTACAGACCTATTAGTCTAACCTCAGTACCTGGAAAAAATATGGAGAAGATCATACTGGGTGCTGTTGAAAGGCATTTGAAGGACAATGCAGTCATCAGGCACAGTCAACATGGGTTCACAAAGGGAAAGTCTTGTCTAACTAATTTGGTAGCCTTCTACAATAAGGTCACCCACCTCTAGTGGATGAAGGGAAAGGTGGTGCATGTAGTTTTTCTGGATTTTAGTAAGGTTTTTGATACTGTCCTTCACAGCATAGAATCATCCTTCTGGACAAGTTGTCCAACTGTGACATGAGCAAGTACATTGTGAACTGGGTGAAGAACTGACTGAACGGCAGGGCTTAAAGGGTTGTAGTGAATGGGGCTACATCTGGCTGGTGACCAGTCACCAGCAGTGTTCCTCAGGGCACAATTCTGGAGACAGTTCTGTTCAATATATTGATCAACTATGTGGATGCAGGAGTTCAATGCACCATTAGCAAGTTTGCTGATGATACTAAACTGTGAAGTGCTGTTGACTCTCTCAAGGGACAGGAGGCTTTGCAGAGGGATCTAGAAAGATTGGAGCATTGGGCAATCATCAATGGCATGAAATTTAATAAGAACAAATGCCAGATTCTGCACCTGGGACAGAGTAATGCTGGATACAAGTATAAATTGGGAGAGGAGTGGCTGGAGAGCAGCCCTGCAGAAAGGGGTCTGGGGGTGCTGGTCAACAGCAGGCTCAATGTGAA